TGTCACCTTTTCTTTCTGGCTGTAGCTAGAGAACAGGCGGCAGGAGCAGCGGGACACAGCTCGGGCCCTGTGGCTCTGGGCCTTCTCTCTTCAGGCAAAGGTACTGGGGCTCCGCATCCCGCTGTCCGGCTCCTCCCGGGGGAGCATTGTGCCTTGGTGGAGGGCAGGGTGGGCTGTGGGCATAGCCCCTGGAGGGTCCTAAAGGGAGAGCTGGGCCTCACCTCCTCCCCCTCCTGGAGGTGTGGGCTGCGTGGCTGGGCTTCGTGCTGGAGAGGAGGAGGAAGAAGGCGAGGCTGGAGCGGGCGGTGCAGGCCTACCACCAGCAGCTCCTCCAGGAGGGCGCTACCTGCCTCCTGCGGTTCACAGCGGACATGAAGGCCCTCCGGCAGCAGCTGCATGCCCAGCAGCAGGTGCAGGTAGGCCCGGGTTCCCCTGCCTCGGGGGAGCGGGCAGGGCATGGCATGACCTGACAAGAGGCCATTGCAGGTGGCCCACAGCCTCCACCGGGCAGTCCACCGCTGTGCCATGCTCTGGAAACAGAAGGTGCTGGGCCCCGGCCGGGCGCCTCCCCCCACCTCCACTCTGCCCAGCAGGAGAGTGACATTCAGGGGCCCCCTTCCCGACCACATCAGCGCTGCTGCTGGAGATGCCGCCCCGGAGACCAGGAGGCCTCGAGCCCCTCGCAGGCCACAGGGCACTCTGGGTAGCCTGGCCCTGGATGCCGGGGACCCCCCCCTCCTGGAGCTGTGAGTGGCCACCCCTTGCCTCGCCCCTCCGCTCCCACCTGGGGCAGAAGCTTGGCCTGTCCTGCAGGGAGAACACTGGGAGCCTTCTCTCCAGCGGGACCTGTCCCTCCCGAGCGCAGGAGTTAGCAAAAGGAGGGCAGCCCTGCCCTCCTGCCCCAGGCCTGCCAGTGTCCCGCCGACCCTTACAGCCAGGAAATGGGGCCCCCTCTCGGGAGCCCCACTTTCTATGCTCTGGCACCTGCCCTATAGCTGCACACTGAGCTGCTGTAGCTGTTGCTCCCAGAGGGCCCCGTGCTGCCTGAGGCTGTGGGAGGTTGCCAGCAGGGAGTGGCCCAGGCCTGTCCTGCTCTGCTTGCCTCACCCCCTCTCTCCAATCCTGACCCTAACCAGGGCCCAACCCTGACAGGCCTGTCCCCGTGAGGTGGGACAAGCAGCTGCATCACCAGGGGCACTGGAGGTCAAATGAGATGATGTGGGTGAGGGAACAGGCTCGCTTCATGGAGATGCTGAAGTTCTGTGTGGCCGGGCCTAGCCCAGCTCCCATGTTGACCTTGGGCAAGAGCCTCTCCTTCTCTGGCCTGCAGTCTCCCCACAAGATCGGGGGGTTGGGCTGAATGACGACCCCTACCCCACAGAGTCCCAGGCCCCTGGGCAGCCTGAGAAACAGGCCTTGTTTCTTCCCAACAGAGCCGTCCGCTCCGCAAGGAAGCAGCCACGACGTCCTAACTTCTTGCTGGAGCCCTTGCAGAGCCAGAGGCCCCTGGGGGGTGGCAGCCTCGGGGGACAAGGGTAGGTCATGGGGTCTTGGGCCCCCAAAGTACATGGTGCCTCCATCCAGGGCGTGTGATTTGGGGTCTGAGAGTGAGTGGCCCCCTTTCCTTCCTGCTCCTCAGGAGGATGCTGAGGCCTGACCAGCTCCTGCCTTCCCTTTGCTTAGGTCTGAGACGCCGAGGGAGCGAGACCTAGGCCTGGCCCCGCCCACAGGCTCTTCCCTGACGAGGCCCTTCTCGGAAAAGGCCCAGACAGTCCTGGTCCCAAGCAGCGCCATGCCCCAGCCTGGGGCCCTGCCAAGTGCCTCTGGCCTGAAGTTGGTGCCCATGGCGAGTACAGGCCCGCAGTTGCTGCCCCCTTCCTCCTTCATGCCCTGTGGGGTGGGCGCACCCACCGAGGTGAGTCCTCCCTGGTCATCTGGGCTCCCATCCTTTGGCCCGGCCTTCAGGGCTCATGCACTTTGTGCTGCAGCCACAGCTGTACTTGCTGCTTCTGGGACACATTCATTCACCAAGTGCAGGCGCCACCGCTTGAGGGCACAGGAGTGAACACCCCGCCCAGGCCCCTGCTCCCAAGGTTACGTGTGTCCCAATTGAGGGGACAAGAGCAGCAGACAGACTGCAGGTCACGGAGGGCCGTGCAGGCCCTGCTGGAAGTTTGGCTTTAAGGAGAGGGAAGTCCTAGAGGCTGGCTGGCTGCTGTGATGGATGGCCCAGCAGGTGCTGGCGGCAGCAGACCTGGGCCAAGACCCTGGTGAGAGGCAGAAGAGGCAGGACTTGCTCTGATGGGTCTGCAGCCAATGAAGGAAGAAAGCTGGCTTGGATCCCTCGGGATAATGAGTTCTTTCACTGAAAGAACACTGGGGTCCCATTTGGGGTGAAGCATGAAGTGTGTTCAACCTGTCACATTTGAGATAAAGTAACAGGCTTGTGAGCCTGGCCTTCAGGGAAGAAGTCTGGTCTGGAGATCAAAGTTGAAAATAGAAATCAGGGGTCGGGACAGGGAGGCGTGAGAGCAGGAGTGCTCAGTAGCAGGAGACAGCCTGGGGCTGGGCCACCCCAAGGAGCTGGGGTCTCGAGAGCCAGGGGAGTGCTGAGGGGCAGGGTGACAGGAGGGGACGGTGCTCTCACCAGGAGGGAAGGAGGGTTGTAGGTGGGCGGCTGGACACTTACAAGTGCCTCTGATCACTTTCTCACTGAAAGACAAGGCCACAGCCTAGAGACAGGTAGGGGTTAGGGCCAGGAAGGCTTGAAGCAGCTGCTTGGAGCAGTGCTCAGCCAGGCTTGGCGGAGTGGGCCAGACTGCAAAGGTGTGGGGTGCTTCTGGGTTGCTTGGGGTCAGCCTTGAAGGAAGGGCAGGGCCGGGGCGCTGCAAAGCCCAGCTCCTGGGGCCTCCTTGACCCTCCCCTGCAGTGGGCAGCCTTGGCTCCTGTCCCAGCCTTCCTCCGGCTTCTCTATGCTTAGTGTCCATCCTTCCTTTACAGGCATCAGCATGGCTGACCTCCCCTGGCCTTATGCCCCAGGCCCCTCTATCCCTGGCCAGTGTCCCCGACCCCCATCTGCTCCTTCCTGAGGCCCTCACAGGTGGGCCTGGCTCTGAAACTGCAGGTGTGCACCTGAGGTCTGTCAGCGCCTGGGTCCCCTCCATTCAGCCTGGGCCCAGCTGGGAGCGTGGTCAAGATCAAGTTCATTGTCCTGTTGCCCTGGGCCACAGCGACCTGGAGGCTGAGCTTGAGAGCATCCAGCGGCAATTGCAGGACTACCAGAGCATGAAGCAGAGCCTCCGGTGAGGCCCACCAACACCCTGCCCACGGGAGCAGCTGGGGGTGCTGCCAGGGCCTGGGGCGATTCACCTGCCAGCCCCGGAGCACAGGTGGCCCCTTTACCCTCAGTCCTGCTCAGGAAGGCTGTTGGCCTTACCTGTGGGATGGGGGGTGGGTTGAGGGGGGGGCAACAAAGCTGAGCATAAGTAAACATGACTGGGCCATGTGAAAGCTGGGCCAGCAGTCTGCCCAGTGATTGTGACATGGGATGAAAAGGTACAAAGACTGGCCTGGGCCCCAGCGGCACGCAGTGGCTTGTCTTGTGTTCTGGGTCCAGAGTCTGCGCCTTCAAGGCCAGGCTGGAGACCTCCCCATGAGTAGCAGCCATGGAGGGACAGGAAGGGGTCCCTGGGCCCATCCGAGCTGCGTCTGCTGGACAGTGTGGAGGCAGGGGAGGAACAGGAACCCCTGCACCAGAAGCACGTGCTTCACCCCAAGCCTGAGCACCACCAAGGCGAACAGCAGGCGTCTCACCCTCAGGTCCTACCAGCGGCAAGCGAGCAGCCTGCGCCGGTGGCTGGAGCTGAGCCGGGAGGAGCCCAGGCCCGAGGACCAGGAAGCTGAGCAGCAGGTGCAGGAAGAGCTGCAGGAGGTGAGGTCCCCGGCCCCCCTGGGAGGGGCTCTGGCTGTGCTTCCTCTCAGCACGGCCGTCCCTCCCTGCCCGCAGGTGGAGCTGCAGGCCCAGCAACTGGGAGCAGAGCT